GGCTGACCTGGCTCAGTAAAGAAGACCGCTACATGTCAACCCAGCGCAATAAGCAACGCCCCACCCTTGGAGGCCAAGGTAGACCCGTCGTACTGAAAGTTACTGACGACTTGATAATTGCAATTTTATCGATTGTCTTACTCAAGTCTACAGATCGCACAACGGCCGTACCGCGTCGGTGGGTGCGCCAAGCACGTTCATGTTGTGTCGACTCGTCGAGCTATGTACACGTTCACGCGGGGACAGGTACACGCGGCGCTTGACGACGCCGTGCGGCAGAGTTGTCGGTGGGGTGCAGCTCGGCTTTGCCAAGTGCAGCGACTGCCGCAGCGCATTAATCATTTTCTACCCCGATGAGTTCCATCGGTCGCACAACGAGCTTCCACGTCTTGGTAATGAGCTTGCTTGGCGTCGCGCATCTGCACACCGCGAAGCGAGTCAGATGGATACTTCTCCCGTCGAGTAGTGCCATCCAGTAGAACTCACAACCTTCACGAGCGCTTCGTGCTGCGTCTCGAGCTCTGCTAATTGGGTCTTGAGCCCTTGTGTCTACGATCACAATACGTAAGCCGACTCACAGCTGCCACTCAAACCAACGCAGGGCCTACATCTGCGAGAAAGGTCGCGTTCAGCTGATGGCGACGGACGAGGGCATCACAACGCTTTTGCAACGCGTCATTGACTTGATGCAGCGTCGAGACTGGATGTTGTAAAAGTCCTTTACCGTCCGTTCTTCGTTGATGGTGTCCTGTGCCGCCTGCCCTCCATGTTGGGTCAGATCCATGTGGCAGGAACGGAGGTGCGGCCGTACATGCAGCTTCTCCATCTCGTTCGCATGGCTCAGCATCATGTCTCGCAAACTCTGCGTAACTTTCGACAACTGGTCCTTGTCTTGGCAATTTTGCGCTTCGAGCGACGCGGCCATTTCCTCTGTCGTGAATGCGACTTGCCTGCTCCCTATCCCATTGGATTTGGGAATCGAGCATGCTCTCTTGGTGGTGATGGACGGGCTGTGGCATCGGCGGAGGATGGTGGTGGAACTGATAAAACTCGGCGAGAAGCCTGTCGTAGGCCTGTGAGACGTGATACAACTCTTCTTTCGTTCGATGCAACTCGTCCCGCACGGCCGCCAACTCGTCCTTCTGCGCACGCCGACAAGCCAGCGTCCTCTGCGGCGTCCACAGGAGACGCTCCGCCGTCCACCGGTTCCGTAATGTCGGCCACCTGCTCGTCCGACGCAAACGCATCGGCGACCGCGGCCGCAACCACTTCGACAGCGCCTCGTTGTCCATCGATTCAGC